TTTTCGTTTCGCCGAAACCATAATTAACTTTATTTGTCATACATTCCGTGAAAGAACATGTAATTAATAACATTTGTTATTACGAATACAACGATGTTTTGGTATAGTAGACGCGAACATGATAAATAAAAAAAACAGACATGAAATGATAGCTAAATAATTAGATCACGTCACATGTTAATTCATTAAACAAATTACTTAAAAATAACTTACTACAAAAGAAATTAAATTGTAAACTATATAACCCTCAGTCTCAAAAACTCGCTGGTGAACATAATAACCTAAGCACATATCATTTTGTATAGCAAAAAGAAACCAGCAGAAAGAACAGGCAACGTTAAAAAACGGCATGTACTAATATATCAATAAATATTTTTCGACATTTTCTAATTGAAAATTTAATTAAAACCTTTTTTGTGATTTAAACAATATAGAATCAAATTATGTCGTACAACGTTGTATTCATAATCAAAAGTTAATTAACTGGTGTAATATTTTCACGGACCACATGAAAAAATAAATGATGACTTCGCCGAAACATCGCACTTAAAACCTCTCAACGTTATCTTCAAGAACACAGTAAGTGGCAAGTAGAAGCTCTTTAAATAACACCGGAAACGATGTATTCGGAAGTGGTGGAAATTTTTTAGTTTTCTCAACAGCAAACAGTAAAATTTTGCATTTTTTTTCTAATTTAATCTCCGTATCCCTTATGGTTTCCAATATCCCCATCTGTATATGCGTCCTTTCCAAGTTTCTCGGACAAAATATGCAGCTGCAAACCGCGAAATACAAAACAATTTTGGAGGGGGCGGGTCTTTTATCCGCTTTTCGAAAGTTCGTTTTAGCGACGTGGTTTCAAACTTCGAAATTCCCATTTGCGAAAATCTGTCCGAGGTCATTGAAGCCGGAATCAAAGCGGCGCTAATCCTTTGAATTAAACTTACAAACTTTTTTGCCCCCGCAACCCCGCCGGCTCGTCGTCACTCTCTTATTACTCCGTCCGTCTGTGTTTGTCAGTTGTTTCGACTTTAATCCCCAAACTTTAAATGCGTCGAATTGTTTCGACCCGTTTGCGAAGTTAAATGAAAAAATTCCTCTTGCGTTCGGACACACCCGAGTTGCTCAGGTAAATGGGGGGGGGGGGGGGAGAGGAAACTGCCGCGATATAGAGTGGATCTTTTACTCAGATACTTATCCCACGTTAAACAGGAACATTCTAGAAATGTTTTGATCAGAAATGACTTTCTCGATCACTAAGGCTGGGAACTTACCTGTGTGGAATAAATAAATTTAAGCTATTATCTTGATTCGGGTTTAAAGGCCGTCGTCGGTTGGAATTACTTCCTAACGTTTCGCTAGCACGAGTGGCGAGCTTCTTCAGAGGTCCTTCCATCTCCGATGTTGGACGTAGACTGACGATATCTCCTGCGCAGGTTGTATTTATGCCGATTGGTGGTGGGCGGGACTTGTTCCGCTTCGGTTGGTCTCGGGATATCGATCGGTACTGCTCGGGCGTTCTTAAGGATCGGGTTCCAGATTTGGTTGAGTCTAAGGGTCTCCTCCTTTCTGTTGAAATTGTGTGGGTGTTTTTGTATCTCAATGGCTTCCCTGACTAGTCTGTTGTGATAGTCGTTGAGCGATGCTAGTAACTTACAGCTCTCAAAGTGTATCCTGTGTTCCCCGCTGCCCAGTGCGTGTTCAGCTACTGCAGACTTCTCTGTCTGTCCTAGCCTGCAGCTTGCTTTATGCTCCTTAAGTCTCGTTCTCATTGATCTCTTGCTAGTTCCGATGTAGACCTTTCCGCATGAACACGGAATGCGGTAGACTCCTGCAGCTGAGAGTGAGTCCCTCTTGTCCTTCGCTGACCTGATGGTCTGCTGGATCTTCTTTGTAGGCTTAAAGATTGTTTTGATGTCGTGTCTTTTCAATACTCTGCCAATCCTGTCGGTGACACTCGGAATATACGGCAGATATGCGTGGGAGGTGGAGGGTCGTTGTTCGGTATCCCGTGATCTTGATGATCTTGAGTTCATTGATCTCTCGATCTCCCTCTTGTTGTAGTCATTTTGCCTCGAACGCAGTTTTCAGGTGTTCAAGTTCCATCTGGAGGTTCTCCGGTTCGCAAATCCTTCGAGTTCGTTCTGTCAGGGTTCTGATAACCCCATACTTTTGACTTGGGTGATGGTTGGATAGAGCATGGAGGTATCTGTCCGTATGGGTTGGTTTTCTGTAAACTGTGTGGCTCAGCTAGTACGTCCAAGAATGCAAGTTGTTGGTCATTTTCAGTCTCCATAGTAAACTGGATGCTGGGATGCTGACTGTTGAGATGCTACAGAAAGTTGTTGAGCTTGTCTATACCATGTTTCCAAATCACGAAAGTGTCATCCACGTACCGGAACCACGTTGCTGGCTTGTACTCTGAGGTCTCGATCGCTTTTTCCTCAAAGTGTTCCATAAATAAGTTGGCTATAACCGGGCTAAATGGGTTTCCCATTGCCACCCCGTCCACCTGTTCGTAGAAGTTTCCCTTCCACACAAAATAGTTACCGGTCAGACAGACTTCAAAAAGTTTGCAAACACTTGGCATCGCTGCTCCAACCACACGTAGGACACGGCACCAGTTACATCAAGGACTCCACCGACTTCGTGCGCAAGATTCAAGATATCAATATTGAACAAAACGACATCCTTGTGAGCTTCGACGTCGTCTCACTGTTTACCAAAGTACCTCTGAAGAGTTGCTTGGACCTGGTGAACAGGATATTTTCTGTCGATATTTGCAAACTTTTTGAAGTCTGTCTGACCGGTAGCTATTTTGTGTGGAAGGGAAACTTCTACGAACAGGTGGATGGAGTGGCAATAGGAAGCCCATTAAGCCCGGTTATAGCCAACTTATTTATGGAACACTTTGAGGAAAAAGCGATCGAGACCTCAGAGTACAAGCCAGCAACTTGGTTCCGATACGTGGATGGCACCTTCGTGATTTGGAAACATGGTATGGACAAGCTCAACAACTTTCTGCAGCATCTCAACAGTCAGCATCCCAGCATCCAGTTTACTATGGAGACTGAAAACGACCAGCAACTTGCATTCTTGGACGTACTAGTGAGGAAGCGAGGTAACAAGCTGGGCTACACAGTTTACAGAAAACCAACCCATACGGACAGATACCTGCATGCTCTATCCAACCATCACCCAAGTCAAAAGTATGGGGTTATCAGAATCCTGACAGAACGAGCCCGAAGGATTTGCGAACCGGAGAACCTCCAGATGGAACTTGAACACCTGAAAACTGCGTTCGAGGCAAAATGACTACAACAAAAGGGAGATCGAGAGATCAATGAACTCAAGATCATCAAGATCACGGGATACCGAACAATGACCCTCCACCTCCCACGCATATCTGCCGTATATTCCGAGTGTCACCGACAGGATTGGCAGAGTATTGAAAAGACACGACATCAAAACAATCTTTAAGCCTACAAAGAAGATCCAGCAGACCATCAGGTCAGCGAAGGACAAGAGGGACTCACTCTCAGCTGCAGGAGTCTACCGCATTCCGTGTTCATGCGGAAAGGTCTACATCGGAACTACCAAGAGATCAATGGGAACGAGACTTAAGGAGCATAAAGCAAGCTGCAGGCTAGGACAGACAGAGAAGTCTGCAGTAGCTGAACACGCACTGGGCAGCGGGGAACACAGGATACACTTTGAGAGCTGTAAGTTACTAGCATCGGTCAAAGGCTATCACAACAGACTAGTCAGGGAAGCCATTGAGATACAAAAACACCCACACAATTTCAACAGAAAGGAGGAGACCCTTAGACTCAACCAAATCTGGAACCCGATCCTTAGGAACGCCCGAACAGTACCGATCGATATCCCGAGACCAACCGAAGCGGAACAAGCCCCGCCCACCACCAATCGGCATAAATACAACCTGCGCAGGAGAAATCGTCAGTCTACGTCCAACATCGGAGATGGAAGGACCTCTGAAGAAGCTCGCCACTCGTGCTAGCGAAACGTTAGGAAGTAATTCCAACCGACGACGGCCTTTAAACCCGAATCAAGATAATAGCTTATCAACGGGCCGCGAAAGCCTTAACCAATAAATAAATTCAGTTTTATTTTGCAATAGAAAACATTTGATTATTATCATATAGATGTATTTATTAATTGTATTAAAAAAAAATTAAACAATCAAGTTTTGATAAATCTTTGGTTTAGTATAGCACTAATTGACAAATAAATAAATCTAATTACATATATTTATTGTTAGTAGCTTTTTCTTTTATTATTAGTAACAAAAGTAAAACAATAAACTCTTTTTCCTGCAGTTCATTAAAAAATCTTTTTTTTGGCAATTTGATTTAAACATTTTGGTCTTCCTTCCACCAATCTCCTTAATGCAACTACGCTTGTCGATATTTCTAAATATCAATCACTTTTTGGGTAGAAATCGTTTCGCGACTGCCAGCAAATCCACCACTTCCTTTTAATTTCTGTTGCAAGTGACGGAATCTCATTACTTTCATATATCGCATACACTTGCTTGCGAATCCACACTACTCTCACCAATGATAAACACTTTCATTATTCCTTTCATCGTTTTTTCCTTTCTTTGTTTCTTTCTTTCTTTTGGTTGGTTAGTTTCGTCCATTCCATCGCCACAATTTTCTTCAATCCACGCTCTAAACAGAATAAATAATAACTGTAACACTTGTGACAAATGACAATGACTAATGACACGGGGTAAATGATTTTAAAATTTCTAAATATAGACCCAAAATTGAAAAATATGTCGAAATATGCACGCCAAAGTGAACTATGCAAAAAAACTAAAAATGAGTGAAATATGCACAATATGCGTACTTGTCAGACACCCTGTAGCTGACGAGACACAATAACTAAACAGGGTTAACGATAAACTAGCTTCTGGTTTTTCCGGAACACTGAGTGAGTATCCCCTTTTAATAATTATGACACTTTTGTTTCAGTCAATGGCGGTTGGTCACCTTGGTCCCCTTGGACGGAGTGTCGTTGTCCAGGCGACGTATTGGCGACGGGGAAGATGTGCACCAGGACGTGCAATAACCCCGCGCCTAGCAACGGAGGTCTTCCTTGTCAAGGTTCGAGCGTCAAACGTACCAAGGACTGCATCCCGTGTCCCCAAGGTAAGCGTTAAGATGGACGTGGGAAGCTTACGCAGCTATGTAGCTTAGTTGATTAAATCTACCCTATACCGGCTATGGGCGAGTAAAGGTTTTTCTTGGAAAATGCATATCGACAGTATTACCAGTTCAGTCAAAATTAATGATAACTTGAGCCGATGTCAACCACTTATACCACAGAGCTTATTTACACCCTTCACCATAGACAATAAAGCCATAAGGGTGCTACCTCTGGTAGTATAATAAATTTTAATTACTTGCTAGCAACAAGTCTATCAAATAACGGAATAGTCTATAGTTTATTATTATTTCAAAAAATTTACAATTGCATTTAAATTCTATTTCTTGAACAAATTAAAGTTTGGATATAAAAATATAAAAAACGAAGAAATGAATTATTGCGCACACCAAATTGCCACATGTATATACGATATTAAAAAATGATGCAATTTTGAGATAGACGAAATCACTTAGTAGAATGGTTTTTGCTAAAACTAGAATCATGATTATCAGAAAAGTGCCAGTTCAGAAAAACAGATTAACAACGAGAAATTGGCAGATAATCATCATCCTCAGGTTATTAGTTTTTATTATTGTTGAATAATATTACAAAATGTGTATTTGAATTATTAATAATGTAACAAAGTTCATATTCATTTTAATTGGATTAAATAAATGCTATAAAATGTCAAATAAAATCCATAATTAATTAAAATTATTAAATATTTACTTAGTTTTCAATGGAGTCGAATTAAAATGTTCACGTCGTCAAAGTAACTTAACGCAGGTACACGTTTTTTTAATTATTAATTCCTTAGGGTATGTCCATTAACATTATTAATAATGTAAAAAAGTTGAAATTTATTTTACTTATATTAACTAAACACCACAAAATATAAGAAATACAATAAATTAAAATTATTGAATAATTGAAAAATATTTGAGGAACGTATATGCACAATGAAAATATATAGTTTTCTAATGAGTCGGGTTAAAATGTTGCCGTCAAATTTAAAGCAGATAAATATTATCAATATAAGTTAATCAAAGTATGTATTAAAATTATTAACAATGGAATAAGGTTCATATTTATTACACTTAAAATACTTAAATGCCACAAAGTATAAAGATATGTAATTAATTAAAATAATATTGCTAATTATTTATTATTAATCATTTTAATTAATTTTAAACATTAAATAAGCATATATGCAAAATGAATGTAATGAGTCGAATAAAAGTGTTTACGTGTTTACTACTTTATTATATTGGAGAATAAGCTACAGTTAATTAAAATAGCCATTCAATTTTTTGACAAACTAAAAAAGTACAAATTTATATTAATTAAATTGATTAGATTCTAAAAGATATAAAAGGAACAAATATAATTATTTGATAATCTTCGAAAAATTTGGGGAATGAATATACACAGTAAAAGTACTAATGAGTCGAATTAATATGTGGACGTCGTCAAGTTAAGCAAACTAGATAAACTTTTTGAATAATTAATTTCTTTTTAATTTAACAAGTATTAAAACTATTAACAATGTAATAAAGTTCAAATTAATTTTGATTCGATTAAGTAAATGCAACAAATTTTAAAAGGAAAGCTACATATACTTAAAATTACTAAATAATAAAAAAAACAATTGACTTAGATCAGATTCCAGATACGTCGCAAAATTGGTTTTTGCGAGACATATTGTAACCTCACATTCTACCTCAATTGGTTTCCTTATCATGTTAATTGCAGTCAAAATCAGCTTCTTCGCCAATTATTGGTTACAAAACATTGGACACACACCCTCAAATTTCTTTTGCTCGGTCAAATAGTAGTATATTTTTCTTCTTGATTTCCTTCATATTCCGGTGAAAATCGGCTTTTGGGTGACATTTTGCAAATAAAATGGCATCAAAATTGCAAGAATCGGCTTAAAGTGTCTATTTCGGAACAAATAGTAGCTTTTCGTTCTTGATCAGATTTCAATCAAAATCGGCCTCACCGCTACTTATTTTAACGAAAACGGCCCGATTTTTGATTTCGATCAGATTCCAGTCAAACTCCTCTTCATCGTTACTTATTGTAAAGAAAAAGTTCATGAAACCTGCAGATATCAGCATAAAACCTCCCTTCTTGGGTCGAAAAGTAGCTTTTCCTTCCAGATTTTAATAAAATTCGAGTCAACACTATCTTCAAATTACTTAAATTAAAAATTAAATTAAATTAATGAAGTTAATTAAGAGCAGTAAGAGTATTTAGTTTTCTGAATCGAATTAAAATGTTGGCGTCACAACTTAAAGAAGATAAAAGTATTTATTAATTGTTTAATTTCCACCTATTTCACTGGAATTCGGGATTTCGTTTTACTTTAAAATTAAGCAACCTCCCACAGTCTGCCGGTTCCATCACCGGTCTTAAATTATTTTTTCCTCTATCTAAACTAATCGCATCATCATGCGATACCCCCCGCACGCAATCCTTTCAATATGGACCGCCGTGTGTGTTACCGGCCGCTCTCAAATTATGATAAAACTGTGGGATAGTTTTCCGGTCTAATAGAGGCAATAAATTTTACGTTTAATCAATAAACCCGTACGCATAGTATGTAATTAATTAGATACGTCCGTCCTGTTCTTTGTATAATTTTTCAATATCGACGCTAATGGACGGTTCGCGGATGCTTGAGCGCCATTTTGCAAACGTATAACCGATTGCTTAATGAGGCTGTAAATTTGGAATTTTTGACGGACGCTGCCGTCCATTAAATTTTGTTTTATTCGGAACATTTACGAGATAATTTGTCCTTTGATGAGTTTGTTAAGAATTAGTTAGTGCTTCGATTAAAAGTAGTAGTTTAAAATTATATAAAGGTCGATTAAAAAAGGGAAATTGCTGCCTGCAGGGGTTGGACCTATTTATTTGTAAGTAAACTATTTCAAAATGACTTGTTGAATTTTGTCAGCTATAACAATCTTATCCAGAAACCTGAATGTAGCCTTCAGCAACTTGAGATTAACTCCAACCACCATGTTGTTTTTATTGTATAATATCAGCACCACGATTAGTATTGTTAGTATTTCGAAAGGATATATACTTACGGCTTGTTGATTACATTTTCCCCATTGTGACGAATAAAGCGACTTCGACCACTATATCAAGTGATCAAAATGCTGGACGGTGGAATCTTTAGTAGTTCGGAGCAGAGTGTTTAGAAAATACTCGGCAATTTTTAATTTTATTAAAAAAGTTATCATGAATGCAGGAAATGCATTGTCTCCAAAGTACTTTTTTTTTAAATAATATTTTCTAATGTCTTATGACCACTTATTTCAAATTTGACGTTTGACCCTAACTAAATAAAAATTAAGCAGTGACGTTAGGGGGATGGGAGTGCGGGCAAATTTATAAAATTTATTTATAGGCGCCACTGACTTTAATTTAATTTCCATACTTTCCTGAGTTATAGCGACTAAAACTACTACTTTCTCGTCTCTTGATTTTTTCTTATTTACGAGATAATATTTATTATTCAAAAAAGTTACGAAAAGTATTCAAAGTGATCAACCCCATCTCGGATGCAGGAATCCAATCTTCTCCGTTTCGACTTGCGAGCTCAGGGTCGCTTCTAATTTAGTTGCACCCAGCAATAATTCTCGATTTCTTGGGTCCTCTACATTTTCCACAGGAGTAACATAAAGCAGAGATTTCAAGTGACCCGACAGGATAAAACAACAGTGATTAAATCGAGAAACCGTTCATACCGCAGGTGAGGTCCACCAGGGCAGCCATTTTCGTATATTAGTCTCAAAAACTGTATTGTTAATTTATTTAGTCCATCTATTCGAATAAAGTGTCCAAAATAAGATGTTATCTTCTCCGTGACAGTTACAATAACCCTTTTTGTTGATGTTAGGTTCATTTTTCCGTGGTATGGTAAGTCTAGAGGAAAATCGGAAAAATCAGTATCACATCTATGTTATTAATCCGTTTGATTTCTGTTTTATTTTTATTAAACCTGTCAATAATATTCTTCTTCTTCTTAAAAGTGCGATCAGTTTTTGTTCATTGTTGGCAATAACGCGTGGTATCGTCAGCATACCTTAAGTTCCTCCTTAATTTGCACAGTCAGTTAGCATATAAGAACTTGTGGAAATACGTAGATCTTCTTCAATCATATTCAACACGTCTTCTTCCAGTACCATTTCTGCTGTTTTTGGCCTTCCTGTTCTTCCACTTGCGTTTCATAACGGCGTCGATGAATGCTTCCGATTTTTTTATATTAGGGGCTATAAGATTAGGAAACGACAATACGATTAGGAAACATCCGGCTAGCTTTTAATGCATTCCCATCAGCAAGTCGTTAGATATAGTATAGCGATTCATGTTACGGAACTTCAATATTAGACGGATATGATTGAAACAATGCTGGAATTTTTGTAAAAATTCGTGAGAAGGTATTTGAATTAATTAATAAAATTTGAACACCTTGTATCTTGATAATAATGCATTTACGAAAATATCTGTAGGTATATAGTTGATTATCTTTCTTCAATGAGCTAATAATGTACGTAACCTTTATAATATTTTAACTTTTTTTTTTCAACAGTGAAATAAATCTATATATGTATCAGTTTTGAACGATATTTATTCGTACTGATGATGGTAGATTTGACTAAATACGGCACTTCATTTCCAAGAAAAACCTATCCTCGAATGCGCGCTATTAATTAATCGATTTAGAACTAACCAAGCTTTTAACGTTTGTCACTCACCTGCTTCCGTAGAAGAATTGGTGTTGGATACCGCTTACGACTACGACAGTATTGACTACGTCTACGGTAAGGGCGAGCTTTTACACTTTGCTTATCCACGTGTATCCCGAAATATGTAGCACCGGCCATCTTGACATCTTTGATAATTTGAACAACTTTCTGTCGCGTTCTACGGTAATAATTTTTAGATTTTGAGAAACCGGGACCTAACAAATAGTCAAAATTTTGACCACAGTAAGTCTCTTCTATGTTTTAAAATATTTTCAGTGTCGCAGTATTGCTACTTTTATCGAAAAGTAGCGACAACCTTGATTTTTTAAATGGGACAATCTGTATATATTTACTTCGAACTGATAATTAGCTCCATACAAACCATCTAACAGGCCGCAATTTAAATTCTAATTACAGAGTTGAAAATGTGAATATTCAGTAAATTGAAATTTTATACTGCACTCCAGCATCTATCATCCGGCATACTATTTCCAAATTTTCCAACTTTGATTAGATAGACCCAGTGCCTAAACTTGTCCTCATACACCTTCCGAAGAATTTGATGTAAGTGTTTATTACGAAAAACTGATTTACATCTACATTAGGCTGTCTCTCTGACTGCTTCAACAGTAGTCATGTGGCTATCCCATCGTTCTTGAAAACGATCTCCCATAGTTTCAATCTCTCCCCCTGTTCTTCACTACAATCACGAAAACGATCTAGGTGGCGCTGGAGGTAGTGAACTTTTGTTATCGTGTGTGGAATTTGAAAGCATGGTTTCAACTAATTCTACGTAATTCCCCCCTTCTGATTACGTGATTAAATTTTGTGGTACTTCAACAAATGAACACGAAGCGTGATGCTCATTCTCGCTCATTACTGTGGATCATGAACAAGTTGCCTTTTTTGAGGACCGCCAAATACACCAGCTTTTAATTTTTCCTTGCCAATCCCAGGAAATTTACACAACAACTACTCAAAATAATTTCCATGTCGATTGAAAACCTTCACAAATTGCTTTATCAGCCCAAGCTCGATATGCAAATTCGGAATTAAGATTTTTTCTCGATACCAAAGGTTGCAAAGGCCCAAGAAACAAAGATATTCTGTATAACCACGCTGTTGCCCAAGGAGGTAATTTAGTATTCAATTTAAGTATTTATTTATTTTTGAAAACTGGTAGGGGAAAAACTGCCTTTATAAGGGATATTTATATAAATGTATATATTTGAAATAATTTTTGGTCATTTACAAATAATGTCATTTTGGTCCTGAACCTGAACTGAAACTTACATTAACAAAAACATACATTTATTTGTTGTTTTTTTATTAATCAAGTCATTTATTATTATTATTATTATTATCATTAGTTCCATATAGAGTAGTAATTGAAATATACCGGAGTTTACACAATAATGAAATTCCTTTCTTACACAAATTTGACCACACGTTATTTTTTCGAAATAAAAGCCGTGTTCGAACATAACCTAAATATTTTGACATATTTGTAAGCGTACCATGATACATGTATGTGTGGAAAATTGACATTAGTCGTTGCATTTACAAACCATTGATTCATCAAAATAATTTAAAAAGTCAAGAAAGAATATAATGACTGAAGAAGCGATAATGTGGATAAAATTATTATTATCTGTGCAGACAGATTACGATGCCAAATTTTTTCTATAAAATATATTTGTGCAATATGACTTTAGACGTTCTCTAAATTTTTAATTTCAATTTTCTGCATGATTGAATTTTTAATTTCATTATCTTCATATATTTCAGTTTCTTTTAAGTCTTGCTTATAAAACATTTCTTTGTCATGATTGTCAACCGCATTAATTTTGTGTAACACCCAAAAAGCATGATTGTCAACATATTCAGTTTTCTAAATATAAAAATTTAGAAAATAATTATTTTGTCACGAAAACCGCTAAAGATGATCGTCATCAGCCATTTCGAAGTACACTGGTACAGACAGGTGTATCTTGCCCTTTACTTTGTGCAACCAGCTATCTGTAATCCTTTTTATCTCATTTTGCGATCGCATTGATGGTCTTTGTCTGTCCCTTTTATCTTTTCTGGGTTTCCATTCAATAAATGATCAGAAAATGATATCGAAGAGAGGTTGCCTGGTCTAAAAACTACGTTCGATATAAGCGGCAACACTGAAAATATTTGGAGTTTGAAATTGAATTAAAGTGTAACATTTTTGAGACGTACATTTTTAATTTTAACTCTACATATTTCGGGATCGTAGCATCACACCTGAGTCTCACACCTCTCACCAAATACACAGTTCGTTTAAGGTAAATTCATTAAATCTTAATAAATTCGCACTGCAAGTAGACGATTAGCCGGAAACTTTTAGGACATTGTTCATCCCTTAAAGGGAATAAAACATAAACCTGGTAACCACTATTTAAAAATTTTCTAGGTTATTCCTACCTCGGTTGTTGATGACGTTTCGCCAATCATCCTGTTGGCTTCCTCAGAGCATAACTGAGACTGGTTTGCATTCTACTCCTTAACTGCTTATCTACTGTTTGAGGGAGACGGAACTAAAGGAGAGACACAAACATTCGAAAAATATCAACTGTTCCAAAAGCTACCCATTTTTATTTTACTTGAAAAATCTACTTTAGTAGCTAATATACAATTATGATGAACTCATAAACAAACAGATAATAATTAGGAATTATTAGAAAAAAACAGAAAATGTTGGAATAGCCTATAACAAATGGAAAATGAAAAGACAACAAAACAAAATTTGCATTAAAAAAAAAAGGGATTATTTTAACCAATCAAAAATTAGAATACTTTTTGACACTCAATCTCTACAAATTGTTAATTCGCTCATGTTGCAACTAATGCATATTTTCGTTTTTCTATCTGCTAAGCAGGAACATTTTTAGCACCTTCTCTCAAAACTCTCTTCTCTAGAGCTTCTGTGATCTTCAACAAGCTATCGTACTAAAACTTGATGAAATTATGTTTGAATTTGTGGAGATTTCCAGGTCTACAAATGGAATGTATGAAATTCAATAATTTCCTATCAAGAGAAAACCTTTCTTCATTAGGAAACAGTGAACTATTTTAAAAAACCAAATACATTTTTATAGAATAGAATAAAATAATTTGGATGTAAAGGAAGTGACTCGTTTGGTTTCTTCAGAATAGTTAGACTTAAAATTTAAATACTGGGACATACTAGGACATCTAGGAACGATAATCAGCCATTTTTTTCTTTCTCAACGGTAAATTTGAAGAACAGTGGTAAAAGAATTAAGATGATTCAGAAACGAATCTAGCCGGCTATCGGTTCGATTCCCCTTGACGAAGGTATGGTATAGTAGATATCTGGAAAGTTCATACACTAACGTGTCCTTGGAGGAATCGTTAGACATCGTCGATGCCAGAATGAGTAATCAAGTTTGGGATGACATTAAGCAGCCCATTTTCAAAAACAAAGCCAGAAACATCGACTCCAGAGAAATAGCATATCTACCAAATACCATGGTTGCCTTTTAAGTTTTTATAATTAAATATTAGCTGATGTTAATGAGTTGTGGCAATTATATTTGCGAAGCCAGTGAAAAAAGGGAACTTACTCGTGAAGACTTACTTTGGATGATTTTTTATGATTTTAAAAAAGTCCTTAATCAACAACAATGCCTAAAATCGCTTCGTGCAGCTTTTGGCCATTATGCGACCGTCAGCATCGAATGTCAAGAAGGTCGGCTAAAATTGGTTGCCATTCCGAAAAACATGGATGCTGTGCGCAACATGATTACGGAAGATCGGCATACGGAGAGATTTAAGTGTCTTTTAGCATATCGCGGACTGCAATACAATGAAAATATGAAGACAATGGCATACTTTAAAAATTACTATAGTTATTCAAATCTTTACGAGCGGCGACATTAACAATCCCGGAGCCTATCCCCCATATCCATAGTGCCACCTATCGGTAAGATATTCCAAAGGGTTATAAAACCCCAAATAGCTAATTTTTTTGAGAAGCAGGATATCTTTGGGAATGACCAGTTTGGATTTAGGGAGGCAAGCTCCACCATACACGCGATGAGTAAGGTTGTAGGAGATGTGGTGGTGGGTCTTGAGACTGTAAATCGGGTGAAGTTGACAATGTGTGACCTTAGCAAGGCCTTCGACTGTATCTCGCACGATCTTCTTCAGCTGTTTAGGTATGGATTTCGAGGCGGAACCCTTAAACTAACAGAATCTTATTTACTAGACGGGGAACAGATTGTGGACGATGACAGACGTAAATCCTCTTTGGCGAAGTTCTCCGGTGGGGTCCCCCAAGGGTCCGTACTCGGTCTTGTATTTTGTATAGTGTATGTTGCTGATTTATGCCGTTTTTTGAGGTCTGTCCAATGTGCTTTATTTGCGGACGATGCCAGTTTTATCTTATATGATCTGAATTGGAATCACCTGCACAACATTATTGGGGAACTGGAGAGCAGTGCGAACAATTGGGTAAAAAATAATTTTTTGAAATTGAATACGGGCAACTCAAAAATATTCTTTTCGCTAGATAAATACAATAACGGCAAACGGCGAATGGCATTACTCTTGATAGTAGACTTGACTGGAAAGATCATATTTTATCTCTTAAGCGAAACCTATCTTCCAGCTTATTCGTCCTTAGAAAAATTAGAGAGAGCATAGACCAAAAGCCCTAATGACAGTGTATTATGCTTTATACACAATATTATGGGGAAACTCTGTCGATGTTGTTCAAATATTCAGGATACAGGAAAGGGGCTATAAGAATTTTTGCTGGTGCTAAGCACAGTAATCACTGTACTCCATATTTTGAAAAATATAAGATAATGATACTGCCCTATCTATATATATAAAACCCCAAATAGCTAATTTTTTTGAGAAGCAGGATATCTTTGGGAATGACCAGTTTGGATTTAGGGAGGCAAGCTCCACCATACACGCGATGAGTAAGGTTGTAGGAGATGTGGTGGTGGGTCTTGAGACTGTAAATCGGGTGAAGTTGACAATGTGTGACCTTAGCAAGGCCTTCGACTGTATCTCGCACGATCTTCTTCAGCTGTTTAGGTATGGATTTCGAGGCGGAACCCTTAAACTAACAGAATCTTATTTACTAGACGGGGAACAGATTGTGGACGATGACAGACGTAAATCCTCTTTGGTGAAGTTCTCCGGTGGGGTCCCCCAAGGGTCCGTACTCGGCCTTGTATTTTGTATAGTGTATGTTGCTGATTTATGCCGTTTTTTGAGGTCTGTCCAATGTGCTTTATTTGCGGACGATGCCAGTTTTATCTTATATGATCTGAATTGGAATCACCTGCACAACATTATTGGGGAACTGGAGAGCAGTGCGAACAATTGGGTTAAAAATAATTTTTTGAAATTGAATACGGGCAACTCAAAAATATTCTTTTCGCTAGATAAATACAATAACGGCAAACGACGAATGGCATTACTCTTGATAGTAGACTTGACTGGAAAGATCATATTTTATCTCTTAAGCGAAACCTATCTTCCAGCTTATTCGTCCTTAGAAAAATTAGAGAGAGCATAGACCAAAAGCCCTAATGACAGTGTATTAGGCTTTATACACAATATTATGGGGAAACTTTGTCGATGTTGTCTCAAGTGTAGGCAAAACATCTGTTACAAAAATACCTTAATTAATAACCATTTTTAGATTAAAGCACAAAGAACATCAAGTTGCAGACGATGCCAGTTTTATCTTATATGATCCCAATTGGAATCACCTGCACAATATTATTGGGGAACTGGAGAGCAGCGCGAACAATTGGGTTAAAAATAATTTTTTGAAATTGAATACGGGCAACTCAAAAATATTCTTTTCGCTAGATAAATACAATAACTGCAAACGGCGAATGGCATTACTCTTGATAGTAGACTTGACTGGAAAGATCATATTTTATCTCTTAAGCGAAACCTATCTTCCAGCTTATTCGTCCTTAGAAAAATTAGAGAGAGCATAGACCAAAAGCCCTAATGACAGTGTATTATGCTTTATACACAATATTATGGGGAAACTCTGTCGATGTTTTTCAAATATTCAGGATACAGGAAAGGGGCTATAAGAATTTTTGCTGGTGCTAAGCACAGTAATCACTGTACTCCATATTTTGAAAAATATAAGATAATGATACTGCCCTATCTATATTCTCCATAATCTTTTAGAAATTCACAAACATACTAATATATTTCAGGGTGTGTCTCATAGTTATCCAACACTTGCAAAAAACCTTATAAGAGTTCCAAAGCACAGACTTGTTACATCAGACAAACATTTTTTAAACAATAACTTGTACAATATGCTGCCAGGTAGGTACAGACATATGGCTTTTGACGTGTTTAAAACAAATATTAAAGTGTTGCTTAGTGAAAATTGTTTCTATAGTGTGGACGAGTATTCCATCAAAATAAAAAAATAAATTAAAATCCTTGGCTTAGTGAAATTTGTGAAGATCATAGTATACTATCTTGCACTTTTTGTACGATTTTTATACTCCGTGTTAGTATTGTTGACCTTTACATTTGTTATTGTTCACTACTGTATTATTTATAAAATAGGTTTTTTTCACACCTTTATACTTTTTACATTTTGTTTTTGTATTTTACCTTTTACTGACAGGCTGCAATTGTATTATTATTGTGGTTAATAAAAATTCTTCTTCTTCTTCCCATAAAGCACGTCAAGCAACTGAATATTTGAAGAAGAAAAACACGGAATTAATGTCTCATTGCCTGTATTCACCCGATTTACCGCCTAATGACATTTTTTCCCACTGCCAAACAAAACACCATTATTTCTAGTAAGCAGGTACAAAGTAGATTGTAAACCAGCTTCAGTTCAGCTCTGAGGAAATCAACGGGATGACTGGCGAAACTCAACAAGTTAGATTCATCAGTATCAACCGAAGCAGGAAGAAGCGATAAGATTTGTTAATAGCATCACACTTGCATTTTTAACTCTGCCGAAAGTAGACAAAAATTCAAAAAAAATTTTATTGACATTTTTGTATAATTAATAATTTGAACGTACTATTGCGTTAAGGTTATCGTGAGGCCAACAAAATTTTTAATTGCGCGCTTGCGAAACTTTTTCTCGAAAATTTCGGGCGCAAATCTTACGCCGCTTTTATTTAATTAACGAGAAATGCGCGGCCAAAGAAGTCGACTGTAATACAACATAATTACAACTTTCGCATTCTTCGACGTACAAAATTAAGGAACCGCGGACCTAAAGCCCGGCGAGGGTTAAAATTCCTGAGGTCGTAATTAACTGTATTTTCAAAGAGAATTCGGAGATAAGCCCTTGTGGTAATGGCCCGATTCCTGTTGGGGCGGGGGTTCGGTTTTCGACCGCCTAATTTTAATTTGTGTACCATGCTTAACCCCCTAACCGTCGTATCGGGATTAAATTTATTTTCGGAAGATTCGTACCACCACATCTATTATGACGTATTAATATTGGATTAAATGAGGGATATCCGGGGAAGAGGGCTTTTATCAAAATATTGACCTCCCCTCTAATAGGTATTCTTCTAAAAATTATAAATATATTTTCCAGGGCGCTCCAAAAAATATAGTAAAACTATCTTTTTAAATCGCAAGATGCTTTTATCTTCAGGATTTTTTTCTTATATTAGGTCTTGGCCCTGTTCTTTTTTCTTTCTAAAGTTGCAGTTTTATTTGTGATATGGTTGCCAGTTACTATCATTCAAAGGGTATTTAGTAGTCTGTCTGTTGCCTGCTTGTATTTGAATCCTTTGCTGTTCGGTTCAGTCTATTGCAGTCTATCAGTGTTATGTGCTGTCTTCTCCACCGTACTAGATCCTGTACCTTACTTATTTGATTGTTCAGGATCGTTCCTCTCTCTGAAACAACCTAATACATGTAATGGATGTTTATATTCTAACCAACATGGAAACTTGTTCGATTATTTCATATTAATTTTCGATTTTGCATCATCTTAGTTCCCTTGCTACTATTAAAGACTTGGTCTTAGATGTCGATACCCGCATCTTGTAGGTTCCTGCCGCTGTTTTAAAGGTACATACCTAGACGCTGTAGGTCACCTTCATGATCTGAAATCAAAATTGCTTACTTTATTTATTTCTCCTCTTATGGTTTCTCCTCCATATTTTAAGAGTTCGTTGGGTATAACATCGAGTCCTGCAGCTTTTCTGTTTTTAATTGCCCAAAGTTTTTCTATTACTTCTATGTTCCGTTTTCTAGTCCCTCTGCAAGATTTTTATATTGGTTAATGTCTTGTCGCATCCAATGTTTTACAAAACTTTACTGTGTATTCCATATAGGTCGTGTTCCATCTGTTTTCAGGTTTCTTACCAGTGAATTTATTTACTTTCTTATAATATATATGTCTCAAATATCTTTGGCCATCTCAAGTGTAGGCAAAACATCTGTTACAAAAATACCTTAATTAATAATCATTTTTAGTTTAAAGCACAAAGAACATCAAGTTTTACACTAGCCAGAAAGAATATACTCGAGAAATCGAAGTTTTGTCACTTTACCTTGGCTACGAGTTTGATGATTGGTAAGTTAATCCTCCCCGTCCTTATGTCTTTGGCAGGTAAATTAATAATAATATAACCACCACTCTAAATAGTAATTATCACAAGTAATATTAACAATATTTGAAGAAAGGAGAAAAGGGAATGCTAGGAATCTCTATAGTGCATCACAAGGATATCTATTTCTGTTTCCGGCCAAATCTACTAGAATCACGATCATACTGAGGAACACCACAACTAAATCTAATACATGGATTTTTGAAGTCTTTGTACGCTAGTCCTTTGAATCTTAGAGTAATTGAGGTAAGAAACCACTAGACCCTCGCGCAACTTAAGCTTAACGTTGACGTTCATATGATGTGAAAATCGCAATCGAAAGTCGATCCATAACCCCTAAATTCTACAAAATTCGATACTGTATTATCCAAAGTAATAACATAGTTATCATTGCTGATAGCACGGTCGCTCTGATTCCCACAACACTTTCGACTTTACCAAATTTTGCTTCATACTATGTGCCCTGGAAAGCTGCAAGTTATCATTGATACTGCTCGCACCACGAATATCGCAGGGGAAGGAACGACATATTTGTTCATTACCAGCAGACTCCTAGTATTTAGAAAACGCATCATTCAGATAGTTTGTTCGTCTCCAAAATGGCCCCCACGCGCTCATTCCGTTACTGTTATGGAACTGCAGTAGACGATTTATTGACTGGAAAAAAAATACTGTCCAAATCAGTTCTATAGCTCAAAAAAATTTAAAGTTTCAGGGCTGGTCGATGTTTAATCTTAAGACATTGGAACCAAGACACCTGACAAGCTCGTAGAACCTGATCGGTTCAACCAAATCATAAAAAATCCATTCTATCACAACATGTGTGGGAAGAAGCAATCATTCAGAAATATTTTTTGGATATAATGTATTTCATTGAATCAATAACGCATTGTTCTCTAATGTTAAATTGCACACTAAGGCAGACAAGATTTGACAGCGTTCATTTCAAACAATCCACTCTACCGTTTCGCTTTTACATGCAACATTAAATTCGCATCCCGGGCGTCTGCAAAGTCGTGACTTATTGTTTTTCTTTAGTGGAACCAGCGCGTTGGTCCGCGTGGTCCGATTGGTCCGAATGCAATGAGGACTGCACCAAAACGAGGAAGAGACAATGCATACCGGGAACCGGAAACGGAAGAAAGTCCTGCAGCGGAAAGGAAGTGCAGACGAATCCGTGTTCGTCAGACCGTTGCAGGTCGATGGAGCTGACCAGAGTCCGCGAAGGTATTTATCAACGTTTACGTAATATATACGTCGGCTTTCATGTCGTATGTATGAGCCGGCCGGTTTTGTTTTACGCTTTCACACGTATATTCTGATAATGGAATTTGAATTTTCGTTTTGCTTTACTGTTAGTTGTGTTTTTGTTATTTGGTAAACATTAGGAACATTACAAGCCAACCCAAACGGTATCAGCAAAATTTCATGTTTCATACTGCTTACCTTTAATTTAATCACCAATTAAACAAAAAAGAATAACTATGGCTACAGATCTTTTTACAAAACTTCTGGATTGCTCCTGCTTCGGTTTTTGCAGAGTCGAACTTGCTGACGTTTCGCCAATCATCCTGTTGGCTTCTTCAGAGCTTAACTGAAACTGGCTCGTATTTTATTCCGTACCTGCTTATATATTTGTTCTCATCAGCTGTTGCCAAACATAATGACGAAAATTATATTCGATAAATCTAAAATTTTTACATGTAATCAATTCTTCTACCAACAAAAAATCCGACTGTCACCAATATGGGAATCAGTCATTCGAGATGGTGTTTATGCGCCTCATGTAGCTCCGTCCCCCTCAAACAATATATAAGCAGGTACAGAGTAAATGGGAGCCAGTTTCAGTCAAGCTCTGAAGAAGCCAATAGGATGGTTGGCGAAATGTCAGCAAGTTCGACTCAGGAAAAACCGAAGCAGGAGGAATCCAGAAGTTTTGTAAAAAGTATTACAGTAGCCTGTGGAAGTTTCTTTAAAAAATTATGGCTACAGATCATCAGGATGGTTATGTATAACCGTAAATACAAGTCTTTCAAGGATATTTTGCAGTGTATTCTGACGGGAACGTGAAGCATATCGACTAAGTTGACATTAACCAAAGGGACATTTTAATTGAATTGAATTTAATTAAAAATTTTAATAACTATTTCTTAAACGTTAGACAAAAACGACTGGAATCCTGCAGACGTTTCGCCAAAATTTCACTTGGCATCTTCAATGCTCGCGCTCCGAAAACACTTCGAGTGTTCGATTTGCAGGATTCCAGTCGGATGCAGGATTCCAGTCGGAGTTCAACGAGCGAACGGATGATATCCCGGAATATAGTGTCATCATATATATATATATATATATATATATATATATATATATATATATATATATATATATATATATATATATATATATATATATATATATATATATATATATATATATATATATATATATATATATATATATATATATATGCAATAAACGAGGTTTGCTGAAGTTTAACACTTTAGAAATACAAACAAACAATGAACACTATTCAATAAAATTGACAGATAAAGTAAAATATTTAGGAATAACAATGGATATACAATTAAATAGAACAAACTCTTACAAACATTAGTAAACAATGCCACTGATTTACAAATTCAAATATTTTAGAAACATTTTCAATAAACAACAACTTTATTATGTATTAGTCACGTTTGCAATATGGTATTTTATGATGGAGAGGAGTACTGGTTTACGAAAAGGTGAGTATTTTTTAAAGCAAAGGTTTTTCATATTTTCAAAAACGAAACCGAACTACAAAATAATTATTATTACAATACACGAAATTACAAATAAGTGTAAATAACAAACAGGGCAAAGATCTTACACATTTTTATGGGCGCCCTTTTATAATTTCCTAGGTGCTGCAGAGATTCATAATTTTAACATCTGAAAAAAATCATTTCATCTGTGACTCTCGAAGCAATAAGTATAAATACATAAATGAAAAAAAAAGTAAACGAAATATTAAGAAGAAAAATATGAATATCAAGAAAAAGTGGAGAATGTCAAAAATAAGAAGTGTAAGATTTGTTTCTTGTCAATGTCAAATTTAATTAATTGATTGTTTTGTATTTTATATAAGTCACTTTCTGCAACAAGCTTAACTTATGAAATGTGATCAAGGGTTTTAGGGCGAATTTTCGTTTGTTTATTTTTGTAGATGTACTTCGAATGTAACGTATTATTTTTAACTTACAATTATCATTGTCTACTGTCTATTATTAGTATAGTATATCATTATTAATGTTTATTATTATTAATAGCAGCAATTCAGAATTTTATAAAGAAACATTATATAGACCAGGCTTCTTCTTTTAGTTAACGGGATAATATAAACTGTCTAGATTACGAAATGTTCCTTGAATGAGATAAATTTAAATAGTTTGAACCCTTTCAAAGCTAGACCCGGTACTGTGGACCTCAAACGACGCTACCAAAAGAAAACTTGTCTAGAAAAACGTCCTGTGTTCAATTTTGTGACAGACCAAGTTATCCGTAAGTTTCTTCGACATCGAACTTTTTTCGATTTTAGAGTTGCACATGTAGGTCATTATCCATGCCAATATCATTTGTATACTCGCAAACCACCTTTAAAAATCGATCTTTTTCCCTCTTAAGTCCTGTTGTTATTATTATTTGCGGTTGTTATGAGAAATATACCCAACGATGCAACAACTAGTGTTGCATAACTGTTGCGTTTTGTTCTCGCTTATATCGCTCGGACCGTATCGAATTTCTTTCCGCCCTTTTAGGCACACAACTCGACGTCACCCTCTCCGACGCTGTCAACTGGATTTTTCGCGTCGCGTCGCCGTCACCGCTGTAAACAGAAACATCGCAGTCAGAAGTGACATATTTACGCATCCGTCAGCGTAAAGCATCGCGTTTCGCACCCTCTCCGGTCGGAGCGGAGGGGGTAACTATGACAGCGGCATTTCCTCTCCGCGTACCCTCGCATATTTCAAGTGACCCATGTTAATTTCGGCCTCTGACTGTCCCTGTCCTCCCCCCACCCCTTCTGTTTCTGTTATTAAATTGGCAGGGATTAACCCACACTGGATAACATGAGTCTTTCAAAAAAACTATGTAGTAGGGCGTCTACCTATATTTTTGTAATGTCATGGTCGATTGATCGGTGGACAGATGTCTTAAATATAATAGAATAAAACACGAATAATGAGGGCTTTGAAAAAAAAAACCTTCAATAAAAGCTGGAAATAGCCTCCATCTTCTACTTCTAAAAATATTTATTTATTTTTTATTCACAGTTAAGACAATTAAGACATCCCCCAAGATATACAGTGCCCGCATAAATGATGGGATCCCCTATTTATTTTTTGTACCCTTGCATTTAGCATGGTGAAATTTGGCATGCACGTATATAATTAATATGTTTAATTTCTGATATAAAAATGTCTCAAAATGTTAAAATGACAGCAATAGGGTTCATGCGATGCGTCTTTTAAAAGTTTTTGTCACGTCCTATTCGCATACCAATTTTGAAAACATTCGATTTGTCCGTTTTTTGCAAAACAAGAAATTTTATTGATGCATTTTTAAATACAATTTATTTCAAGTAATAATAATTATTAATGTAAAGTCGCGTGTAAATACAACATTAGAGACTACCAGGTCAACAACCGAAATGAATTTCAAAGAGTTCTATATAGATATAGACCTGTTAGGGAATGCTACTTTTTCTAATAGGTAGATAGGAAGACGAGGCCATATTGAATGGACAGCTCGGTCGCCAGACCTAACACGCCTGGACTTTTTTCTTTCTAAAAAGTAAAATTTGTTTCAAAACCAAGTGTTTGTACAGTCGCGCGAGAAAACCCGCTATTGGACCATAAGATTGTAAGATTATCGTTCCTTTCGTAATTTTCCCATTGAATTACGAAGTTCTAGCGATATTTCTTTCCAACATGGCATTTTAAAACCTTTTTACCAAGTGACAAATAAAAAATAGTGGTTCTTTTTCGCGTCTTCGATAAAACTGAACTGTCACTATTCAATGTTTCTTATTTATTATTTATTTTACGCTGCCTTAATTTTTGCTTGGTGTATGTTTACTTTCCACAAAACATCTTTTTGTAAATTTAGTTGTGTTTTTAAATTTTTTATTTATTGTATTTATAATTTTCTTAAAATTAATATTTACAAAGAGGACATTTGCTCTAAAATAATGAAAGTTTTAAGGGTGTATGTAGACTTTTGTGAGCCACTGTATTAAATCTAAAGATCTTTTATTTGCTTTTAAGATAATGAGAGTTTCATATTCTTACTGATGTAAAGGTTCATCAAACATGGACAATTTTATATTTTTGATAGGCTACCAATGCAAAAATAGTTTCTTTATTCAGAAGCCGAATTAACCTATTTGATGCAAAATATGATATAACAAAAATTAGAATTGTCTACATTTTATCCGAGACAAGGAAAAAGGAAATACAAATCAAAATATTTGTAAATAGAACTGTATCTCGAGTTTTGCTATTATAGAGAAGGCTAAAGTAGAAAAGCTGTAGATGGCTTGTAGGCTTGTAGGAGGTTTTATTGTAAATAGTGACTTCAAATCTTGATATATGATCTCAGATATTGAAATTAGTGTTTAATATAATAGTTTTATAGAAACGATATTTATTACGTCAATCTTTTCAATTTCTTTTACTACTTTCATACAAATAGCTGCTATGAATTTGGACTTTCAATAATGCGACTCACAATCTCCAAAAAAATAGTAAGTTGGAAGTTAGGCGTAAGACTGATAATTCCATGGATATGTTTGAAACGTCTGTGCTTCTTTCGATGGGAATGAGTTGACAAGCCAGGTGTATCACAAAGTGTTTCATAATGAAAATCTTAATCGTAGAAATATTTATGAAACTTATGAATAACGTGGAGTTTTGATGGAGTCGAGACTGGCAAAATATATTGTGTTACGGTGTTACGTTTCACCCAATATCAATATGGGAAAGGAAACTTAAATTAGATCTCAGCAAAATAACCAGATCTCTGAATTGACTCACATTCGCCAATGTTCTAGGCCATTAGTCCGACACCTGTCGAGGTCCACCTCTCCAACTCTCATAAGTTAGTCTCAATTCTCATGAATAACTATAAGCCATTAGAGCGGAGAAGAAATCAGGAATTGAGGACGAACGAGTTAATGAATCGATTGA